GAAAACTTTAGAAGCGTAAATGAAAACTCTGGAAGCGCATTTGTAAGTACAGATCAGCTAATGAAAGAAGAGAAAACAGTTGCAAGACATGCAGTGTATTAAAAACGAAGTCAAAGATTTTGCCTGCATTAAATTTTTTTTCAGTTTCAAATACATTTTATTCAGTTTCAATTCATATTTTCATAAGTTTCTTGAAAAATTACATTCATTTTAATTGGCACAAAGGTAATCCCATACTTAAACACAAATGCAGATGGCTGAATGTTGTTTTGTAATTTGAAAATGTTTGCCATGAACCTCCTACCGTACAGCAAACAGCCTAATTTAAAGAAGGCACAAGTGTTGCTAAGACCAAAACACATTTAAATGGCAAAGTTGCAGCTTCCTGTTTTGCTGGTTGATGTGATGTTGTTGTTTCAGTGCTGGTAATAGCTTTTGCTTAATGGGAATAAATGTGATAGAGAGGTCTTAAAGTGAGGCTGTATGCTTCACTACCAACTGTTTATTATTACCGCACAACTGCAGGGTTGCCATGAGATAAATTCGAACTTTGCAGCAGCGTTATTGAGCAGAGGGTCTTTCATAACATTGATTAGAGAAGACATAAACAGGGAGCTATGAGCTGCCATGATGGGCTTATTTCAAAGAAAAAGCAACCAGGTCAAACAGAACTACTCCCTCATTAAGTACACTTGTATATTTTTGTCAAGTCCATTTTGTGAGTTCTAGGCTTTATCTAATGCCTGAAGGACAGACAAACCATTACACCTACCTTGAAATGTATTTGGACAGTGCCTCTTAATGTTATTGACTTTGTCAGTACAGCACATTTTTGGCTTTGAAATGCTTTACTTTTGGGTTAGAGAGTGCACTTTACATTTGTTTAAAGGTATATTTGGTTCACCAGAAATGCAAACAGAGATCATTTTGTTTAATGAAGTGTTTAAAAAATAATGTTTGGGCTACTTGGGGCTCACCATCTGCTTTTTTCACAATTTAGATATTTGGTGTAAATGTATAGAGAAGGTTGAGTATTTGCAGTTGTTAGTGATCCAAATTATGTTTCAGGGGCAATAAATTTTTTTTTTCACCACTAAATGTAGTCATAAATGATAATCAATTTGATGATAATCTGACTGAATTTTAACGACTGGACAAAAGTTATGGAATTACTAATAAAATCAATGGTCAGTGTGTGATATGTGATGCAATCAATTGATTGATTTAGCAGCTTCTAATTGTGATTTGAACGAAAAGCACTGGGGAAAAGGCATGTCTGTTCAAATTGACATTGTCTGAACAGGTTAACTTTGTTATTAATGATTTGTCTGAGCATGATTTAGCAGCACCAGTTTCTGGCTATTTTCCCAAGCTTCTCACCTGCAAGTTCTCCCAGTCTAAAACTGTAAGATAAATCTCTTATCACGGTGCACTGCCAGACCTATAGTGCTGACACTATCTGAAATATAGCATTATTAACAGATATGTTCAAATATACACATCATATACTTAAAAGAAGAAGAAAAAGTTACCAGTATGCACTTGGAACCAGTCATTCCAAAGTTATGCAAACTGAAAAAATAGTGTCATTTTTAGGGTATACTTACAGCACTGTGTTGTTATCTTTTGTAGTGGTATTATACCACATTATTGTAAGAGCTGCATTGTACTGGAGATGTATTTCACAAGGATTAAAGGCATGAGTGAATAGCTTTGTGATGGTAGCATCTTATGCAAGCATATTCACCTGACAAGAATCTGACTTGGAAAATAAGCCATCCAGCACGTTTCTTGTCACTTCAAAGGCAAGTTCCTAAGCTTTGAGACTCTTGACTCGTTCCTGATTCAAAAAAAAAAAAAAAAAAAAAAGAATCCGTGTTTATAAAAGCTCCTGTCCTGGGGCCGCATTTATCAACAGTGCGTAGAAAAGTTTCTTTATTTTATCCTTATATTTACACACATTCCTACATATAAGTACAAGTTGGTAGATCACACACTTTACGTGAAACTGTGCTTACGCACTCATTACGCACACATCTGTGCGTATGCACTGTTGATAAATGAGGGCCCTGGTATCTCACAGAGAGGCGTGAGTAATAGACTGGTGAGAGATGGACACACACACAGAGTTTCCACTGGTCTTTTGTTTAGGACGGTCTCTGGTATGTCAAACAGTTAACCATAAGCACTGGGATAAAGATAGCGACATCTTCTTTAAACAATAACCCACTCTAACTTGCTCTTAAAGGACCAGAAAATTAAACATATATTTTATTGTTCATTGAATTAGATATTTTTATTATTTGAATTCTTAAAACGGGTAACCTTCAATAATATTTTATTTTCATAACAGATATATAACCATAAGACTGCACATACAGCATACAAGTAAGAATTAAAATGTATGGCATGTTTAAACTGAGACAACATAAACACTATGCAAAAAGATGTTCAGACAGCACAGTTCCTTCACAAACATGCTCTTGTAGAGTGATTCTCTCAAACATATCAAGTATAATTGTACTAATTATATATTTAAATTTATCTCTACATAGGTTTTAATTATTTTCAATAACAATAATACAGTTAACAGTGACCACAAATATGTAAAAACATTTCATTGACAAACACTATTTACACTTAAATAGTTATTGGCAAATGCCTTTAGTAAACATGGATTGAGATATTATATCTGGTTTTACTTCTCAAGGTAACTTAATTTTTACTGTCCTTGTCAGTCAAACCTTGAAATGTAATCCATGACAGCACGGCATGAAGCAGAGACAACAACAGAAATGTTTTGAACAGTGCCGATACCTCTAAAATGTTTTGAGTCACATGTTAGTGGTGGAATGTGTCATGGAGAAGTTCTCCATGCGAATGCGCACCACTTTCTCCACGGGCGGAGGAGAGTAAAAGAAGCGGCACGTGAAGACCTGCTTGCAGGCTTTTCTGAAGTTTTCAGAGAGGAAGGCATAAAGAATGGGGTTGACACAGGAGTTTCCATAGGCTAGGCAGTGAGAGATGATGCGAAACGCAAACGAAGCATCATTCAATGGGAACTGGCCAAATTCTACCCACATAGCGATAATGTGGTGCGGCATCCAGCAGATGAGGAAGGCAGCGACAACCAGCAACACCGTCTGAGCTGTCTAGAAAACACAGGAAGAGAGAGAAAAACAGGTTGGTTAATCATACCTCAGATGACTTGATTTTTGAACTTCTTTTTCTCATGTATACATAAACAATAAACTTTCCTTAAATAATTAACAGAGCGTTTAAAGGTGTTAGCACTTGCGAAGGTTATTCTGTAAAAGGCACTGGACTCTATTAATAGATGACAAAATTTATTGAGACTCAACAGAGCGTATGATTCAGAACAGTAAATAAGTCTGTGCCGTTACAGTAACTGGGATGGGAATAAAAGGCTGGACAGGTCATTACAGAAGGCCACAGCACAAGAATGGAGACTGTTCAGGTGACAGATGGTTTTGGTCTCGTTTCCACTGAATTGTTGTCCATAATGGTGTTGAAAAAGTGGAGACCGAAGTGGGAAGAGTATGACATTTTCTTCCTCATTTCTGGAGCCAAACATGTTTTTTGATTCAAAGCAGATGACACCAAGTGAACCTTTCTGTGGGCTTGATAATGCGTAGCTCATCTCGTCACAGATGAAGCGACGCATCCTTTGAGTGGGTAGATGAAGCCCACCACCAGAAGATGACTGATGAGAGGAGAATAAACTCAATTACGACACTAAAATGAGCAGTAATGCATAGAGGTATGAGATACATCTCCTAATGGATGTTATGTAGTCGCTTTGTTTAAAATCTATAAGATAAATGGTGCCTGGCGATAAGAATGATGCTGGCTGCTGAGCTCGCTGTTTTCAGAGAGGTTGGAAAAAAGATGCCAATTTCCTGAAGATTACATTCACTTCCACAATTTTGCGCAGCAGCTGGTTTTCAGCACACTGGGAAAGCAGACATTACCTTCCACCAATATATGAACTCATTACCAGTGGAGAAAAGCCAAGCCAGACTTGTGATGTTTCCATGTAGAGAGCATCTGTCTAGCAGACGTCACAGCCCACACATTGTGATTTGCTTAAGGTTAAGTACTGCTTGTAACAGAAAAACAGAATGAGTAAAGCAACATTAGAATAGTTAGGATAGTCGTATACAAATATAGACTATATACAACATATTTGGCAGATTAGGGTTAACTCTAACCCTAGTATTTGAAGTATTTCAAACACTTAGTGGTAGAACATCAAAATGAAACAAATACACAGTAAAATGCTATAAAAAAAGACCTGGATACTTGAAACATGGTGTGGGCAAGTAATGGAGAGGGAGAGAGAGAGAGTGAGAGAGAAACGAGAGAGAGAAGAGAGAAGAGAGAAGAGAAAGAGAGAGAGAGAGACCGCTATGATTAGTCACAGGATGAAAGTCTAGCAGAGTGCAAGAAATTTTCTGGTAGATTGGCGCCGTTCTCCCTTGGCCCCAGAGATGTGCTTTGGCCCTTAATATCCTTTAGAGCTTGAAAGCTTGATAGAATGATTTAATATTACAAAGGTTTAACACTTCTGTTAGTTTCTTGACTCTACCGTGTGAATGCTGTGACCATTGTTTGATTGTTATAGTGGAATGTTATACACAAAGCAACAAGCAACAGAGTCCGGATGAACTACTGGTAATCATGTAGAGGGACTGGCATATTTAACTACACTCTAAAAAATGCTGGGTTATTTTTTTTAACCCAAATGCTGGGTTCAGCCTGTTGGGTAATTTTATTGTGTCATTTTTATATTTTTACCCAGGTGCTGGGTTATTTAGTTTTTTTTAACCCAAATGCTGGGTTCAGCCTGTTGGGTAATTTTATTGTGTCATTTTTATATTTTTACCCAGGTGCTGGGTTATTTAGTTTTTTTAACCCAAATGCTGGGTTCAGCATTTTATAGACTTGTTCGGCATTGCTGGGAACGCCCACAAAAACGTCATAACCGTTTATGCCGTGGGGGAAAATAAACCATTCAAATTAACGCGCGAAGACCTTGTTAGGCGCTTGATCTTTACTTTTTGTGATGATTTCGATTGATTTTTGCTTGGTGCAATGTCGAAAAGTTCCTGCGTGGCATTCTGTACCTCTAATAAGGTTACACTACTTACCTTGCGATGATCGAGGGGGTCATTAGTCCCGTCCCCCTGCACCGCAACCCAGTTCTGATGGGGCTTACAGTAACCCTCCTTCGCATCA